AGCCCAAGTGTGCTGGGTCTGGCATTAGCTAAATTCAACCATAAATGAGCTTGGTAGTGTGTCTAACTCAGACATGTTGGATCTAGCATTGGTTAGACCTAAGAGTTGATTGGTTCTAACACCATCAATTCTATAGATTTTTATATAAAATCATAAAGGAATTATTTTTCAATAAATAAGATTAATTAAACAAGTCAATACTTTATCAAAATCATTAGATATATTAAAGTCTTTTATGGCTAGCCATGTCACCATCTTTTTGTTGGATAAAATAAGTGGAATACAACTCATAATACAACTTAAAATATCACAAAAATAAAATTACACTTTAATCCCTCCTCTCCACAAAAAAACAAGACTCATTAGCTATAAATATATTATGAGAACTTCATAATAAAAGTTCACAATTTTCATTCTCTATTACATATATATTTTTAGAGTATTTTTCTCTAGAATATTATTGTATTTTTTCTCTTTAAAAAGATATTTATTTAAGTATTGAAAAATCCCCACCTCCTTCAAAAGGGACCTTTTGCAGATATTAGCCACAAGCTACCTTAGTCTACCAAGCATCAAATATAAGCTATCAACCACCTATAGCTAGGCAAAATGGATGAGATTGCTAGAACCAATTGATTAATCGATTATTCAACCCGGAAGCCTTATTCCTAGGTTACTTGGATTATTAGGATTTCATTAGTGGCATCATTTATGAGAATGTTGATAAAATAAACCATCGATTTTTTTCCTAAAACTTGTTTTAAATATTTTCAAGGCATTTCATGGCACACAACCAAAGCCCACATGGATTAGGATACGGGACAAATCAACTCGTAGCCATGAACTCTCCTACCTAGCAAGAGCTTCAACAACTCATTAGTCAGGTGCAACTCCTCACCTAGACCGTACTGGCAACTCGATGGAAAAACCAGACCTTGCCACCTCAACAAGTCTTAACACCTCCAATAACACATAATGCCTTAGCGTCACAACCATTGATTGCATAAGGAGCCTTTAAGAATGATAATTATAGAAGTCTTTTAAGGGATCGTTGCCACACCCATACACATAATAGGTACTCTGAATGTACTCCTCCTAGCTACTATAGGATGGATAATGGTTACTATAACTATTGTTTTATGGCAAGCTACCTGGGCTCTTAAGAGCCCAGCAAACAAAAAACTAAGAGACGATTTATGCATGAGCATACCTAGATAAATGTCTATAACCCCCATCAGTGGAGATTTTCTCCCTTGTCTAAATGCATATTAAGCACTTGACTCCATAAATACTATATTTCTATGAAAACAAGTTTGACAACTATGATGGTTTAGGTTACCTAAGAAAGCATGTAAAAAATATGTAGAATAACTATCAGTGGAGAGTTTCTCCCTTGTCCAAATGCATATTAAGCACTTAACTCCTTAAATACTATATTTCTATAAAAATAAGTTTGGACAACTATGATGACTTGGCTGACCCAAGAAAGTATGTAAAAAATATGTATAGTAGCTATCAATGGAGAGTTTCTCCCTTGTCCAAACACATATTAAGCACTTGACTCCGTAAATACTATATTTCTATGAAAATGAGTTTGGACAACTATGATGGCTTAGCTGACCCAAGAAAGCATGTAAAAAATATGTAAAATAGCCTGGAATTGATCATCCAAGATCATGACTTAATATGAAAGATACTCCTTACAACCTTTAAAGGATCTTTATATACGTGGTATAACAACTTGGAACTACACTTTATTGAAGGATTCAATGACCTATATGTCAAGTTAGCGGCATGTTTTAGCATCAGTATACTTGCAAAAAAAACTCTATAGACCTTTTTTGTGTTGCCCAACAAGAGAAAGGGTTTACACGGGTATATTTAAAGAGATTCAACGAGAAGATATTTAAGGTAGAAGAATTAATTGAGCCAATTGCCCTAAAAGCCTTAATAAGAGGAGTAAGTGAACATGCTTTTTAGAGAAAATTTTACACCTTACCATATAAAAGCTTATCTAGAATGAAGCAATTCATGGAAAATCACATACAAATTGAAAAAACCAATTTACTTCTTAATGGACCTCCTTGTTTTTGCAAGGACAACCAACATGATTGACCTTCCATGTGAAGTAATCGGAATATTCTAAGCAAACATCTTAGTGTCACCTTTGAGATATGTTTCCTTCTAAGAACCTCCTCTATACCTATCACTCAAATCATTTCAGGATGTATAATCCTTGATAAAAATATAAGTTTCTTGAATATGAATGACTTATTTAGAATGACTTTTTATTTTCTCCAGGTGATGACTGAAGGCCTTTCAACACTTATATTAAGAAGGTGCAATTCATTTAGGAAGGGATAGACGCAGTCTCCTTAATGCTATATGCACCAATCTTCAGAGGATGAAAGTGATCTCTTTAGTCCTTTATGCATCGAAATCTTCCTAGTGCTATATGCACCAATCTCTAGGGGATAGACGTAGTCTTTCCAATGCTATATGCATCAATCTCCAAGGGATAAATGTGATTGTCCTAGTGTTTTATGCATCAATCTTCAAAGAATGAATGTGATCTCCCTAGTGTTATATGTATCAATCTTCAAATAATAAATGTGATCTTCCTAGTGTTATATATGCTAATCTCTAAGGGATAAATATAATCTCTCATAAGATAGATATAGTCTCCCATACTATATACATAAATATCTAAGCGATGAATATGATCTCTTCAATGTTATATGCACTAAGCTTTAAGGAATAGACATTGTCTCTCCATTGTTGTACGCACCAATCTCCAAGAAATATATGCAATCTCTCCAGTGCTATATGCACCAATCTTTCAGGGATGGATATGATCTCTCCAATGTTATATGCAACATTTTTCAAGGGATAGACGTTGTCTCCCTAATGCTATATGCACCAATCTCCGAAAGATGTATGTGATCTCCCTAATGCTATATACACCAATCTCTAAGGTATGGACTTAATCTTCTTAATACTATATGTATCACTCTTCAAGGGATGAACTTAGTCTCTTTAGTATAGATAGCAACATCATCTAATAAACACTCTTCAGTGAGGGGCTCTCATTCCTCGTTAAAAAAAAAAAGGATCATGATGACCACTCTTTAATGGAGGGCTTTTAAGTCTCATAACAATGTTGGGAAAGCTACAAGCACTTACTTTTCAAAAAACTTATAATCACTTAAAAAACTTTTATGTTCATCCTCTCTAGGTTTCGCATAATCACTTAGGAATTTATATAGATGATAGACATGATATATATGATCTCTTATAATTTTTGTAAGTATGGATTCTTGATATTTACATCTAAAAGAATTTTTTCTAGTCCAAATGCATATTTTCTCGTATTTTTTTAGCTTATACCCCTTTTTTGCACGAGCAAAACTCACTTCTCTACCCGAACTAGGAAATTAATTAAAGTCTTCACTTATTATTATATAGCAAAGATTGAGCGGCTAATGATGAACCAATATTTTATCAGTATATCTTTACCAAAAAACACCAGATCAAGAAAAACTTATGGGTATAAATTTTTCAAAACACAAACACACCCTAGTGAAGATGAGTTAGGTCTGGCACTAGCCAAACCTCGCTATAATTAGGTTGGACAGTGTGTCAAGATCTTGGTGCATTGGGTATGACCAATGCTAAACTTAGCCATGATTAGGGTTGGCAGTGTGTCTAGTCTAAGTTTGTTTGACCTTTTTTTTTTTTTTTTTACAACTCGGGTGGATGATATGTCATTTACCCCAAATTATTTTGAAAACAAAAATCAAATGACGAGTCGTTTGATTTGCTTAATGGCTGGAAAATCAAGACTTAAATTTTCTTACTTAAAAACTAGTTTTCAACCTATTTTAACCTAAAACATCATAAGAATCATGATAAATTTATTTATGGCCTAAAAAAACCACTCTAAAAACTAAAATCAATCCAAAACCAACTATCAACTCGAGCTCATATATTTTTTTCACAAACTTTAAAGGTAAAAAAACACTTAATATGAACTCCTATAATCAAATAAAATTATTTGATATAAATATCATTATTTTGATGGTCTAAATTGACATCAACAATATTTTTATCTCTCTATTAATGAAATCTGGCAACCCTTCTCTCTGCTATTTTAATAAAAAATAAAAAATGATAAAAAAAGTTTTTATATCAAAATTAAATTAAAAAAATATTAAAATATTCAAATTATATAATTTACATGATTTTTGAAATTTAAAATTTAAATTATATTTTTTATAAAATTTATAGCATGCTATTTATATTTGATATTTTTTTAATTTAAGTTTATTTTTTTTTCTATTTTATATTTTTTTTAAAAATAAAAATTTTTTTTATTTTATATTTTTTTTAAAAATAAAAATTAATGGGCTTCGATTGAAACTAAATCATCAAAAATAAAAAAGTTTAAAAATCAAATTAGAAAAACTTCATGTACATTATCTTTACAACACAGATATGGATCGCTTAAGATTCTAGTGACCTTGTGCTGGAGTTTCCCCACCTGCAGCCAGCCCACTCCACCTTGATTCTTTTTTGTCAATCGCATTAAATTACTGCGGAACTGTTTCTGATCTCACCCAGCATGTGAAACAGCACTAGCTGTCTCTTTTTAACCGAATCAATCAACCGCTACGTTTACCCGGTTAGCTCAATCTAGCCGCGCCACAAGAAAAAGGCCTGGCTCGCTCTCTCTAAAAGTCTCTCGTGTTGACAGAGACAAAGAGACGACCATGGCAATTGGCCTGCTAGTATTTCACTAATCCGGTTCA